ATAAAAAAAAATAGTACAAATTAAATATTTTTGAACACACACCTGTATAAATCATGTTATTAAATTTATAATTATTTTATACTAGAAGGTTATAATAACAATAATAATAATAATGCTTTATTTTTTCTGGGACGAGTCCCTTTAGAATAATACAGAAAGACAAAAATTTGGGCTAAGGAGCTTCAGAGATACATAAACAAAAATATTGAGTAATTGAATAGTCAAAATAAAAAAAATAATAAACGAAATTATAAGTTATTTTCTAATTTAAATCAGTTAATAATACAAAAAAGGAAAAATTGAAAATAAACATGAAGTACAAATAATGAAGAACTATCTGATAATTTATATACATATTTACAGTAGTAACTATTTACAATTTCATGGGTACTGGATGGATAAGAAATGATTGAACCGGCGGGTTTTAAAGGTAGGAAGGGTTTTGGATTGACGGATGTCGGGAGGGATGGAGTTCCATAGGGATGAGGATCGGATAATGAGAGATCTGTCGAAAGTGGTATAACAGTGACGTAACATGCCATCGTTTACGAACAGCTCGTTTACGAATATGCCATCATACATCAAACTCCATCACTCACAAGAGCCAGAGGAAGGATCCGTCTACTGTATTATATATAATGTAGATAGCTCACATAAATATAATACTTATTTCTTTTTTTTTTAAATAAAAAACATCAATGGTTTTTCGAGATAGGAGTGGCTCATTTCAACTGTCATGCCTCTGGGAGACAATAAATATATAAAACAAATTCACTCCTGTTGAATATTAAAGAAAGAATTGCTCGCCCTCCATCAAAGAAGACTACAGCCTAGCTATCGTTCACGGTCCAGTAACCTCCGTCACACTGAGTGCAGGAGTTACGGACCGTTGATATCTCCTGCACTATCTTGTTATCTCCTATCGACTCCTTGGCCCAGTTTCATAAACTCTTAACTTTTACTTGTTCGGTTTTGATAAAGCAATATTAATTACATATGCATACCTCGGAATAAGGTTGATTGAAAATATCCCAAATATTTTTATAGTGAAGCTCCATATACAATTTGGTGGATGTGACCTCAATAACATAATACTTATTTGATAATATTTTGAGAAATATTTGAATATGTTAAAAAAATTATGTCCACATTTATACTAACTACTAAACGTAAACGAGTAAAAAATCTCCACAAGGAAAAAAATCAATGTTAGATTATAGTAGAGAAAATTCCAATACCACTGACTATTGTTCCTTAAAGCATACTAAATATAAAATAATCCTTTAACGTTTCGCTAATTCAGACACCATCGGGTCACAGAAGAAAAGAAATCCAATCGCATATTGGAAGGAAGGTGAGGTAACACAGTTAAAGAAGGTTACAATCAAACAGCTGATGAAAAAAATCTGGTGCGCGCAACACACAACTTTCATTTACCTCTCTACATTGAATAGAAATTATTTTCTGGCAATACTGGGCAATTATAAAATTGTTTAAGTGCACTTTTAACGGAGCTTACAACTAACAAATCATTAAGACCACTAAAATAACAAAAACCTTATTAATTACATCAACCGTTGACAATACAAACCTCGATTACTCCATCTGTTTTTACAAATCACGTAATTCCAGTCTCTAAGCTACACATATGGACTAGAATAGAAAATTAACTTTATTCTGGAAAGAGAATAACAATTATGACCTAAGAATAACAATTATGAACAAAAAATAAAAACCACATCTGGCCAAAAATTAAAGAATTACTATATAACTTCTACAGTGAAAGTACATTAAAGAAATAAAAAAAGTAAAACTGTTTTTTAAAAAAACAAACATTATTGAAATGAAAAGTTTATATACAGTAAGAAAATTTCATTTGATTTCCTTGGAAACATGTGATTTACGTTAAATAATGTTAATTTTCTGACATTATTATTTATAATGTTTTCGCCACTCTCCTTTACCTTCTACAACTTTCTATATTAGATATCGTTTTTTTCTAAAATTCTTCGCTTTCCAACGGTATATTATACGTATACCTTCTGACTGGTATTTCCGGAGATTCATTTTCGACCCGGATAAGTATATTTTTTTTTTCTCCTTTATTCAATTATCAAATTTTTTAAAAAGTAATATTCAGCATTTTTCTTGTAACTCTAAATAACTTGAGATGATTATTTTTTTTAAATAAACTATATTAAAGGTACTTTAGAGGAAGACGTTTATGAACATTGGGCATTTAAGCCCTGCAATGTGACATCAATGGGGATGAGACATGGTTGATATTCAAGACCACTTAATTATATAATGATATACCGAGTTTAATCAAAATTTGAGAAAATCATAAAAATTTGTATAACCATTGATATAAAGTGCCACTTCTGGTTAGTCGATTTTACCGAAAAAGTTGCTGTCACATCTAAGGCATATACCTATCTTAAATACGTAATATAAGTTTCATATGTCTTTTGGTTTTTGAGCTAGACTGATCACATACACTCACACAGACACAGACCATTTTGCGAGACTTATTTATTTAGACTCAATGAACCTCAAAACGTGTATTTCCGTTGAAAACTCAGATTCGAAAAATCACTTTATTATATGTTACATATATAGGTAAGTGAAAGTAAAAAAGGCAAATGAAAAACATGTAATTACCAACCAAAATAAATAAATGTACCCAAAAAATACAAATAATAAGAGGAAATGAAATAATTATAAGTCCAAAATAAAAAAAGAAGAAATGAAAAAGCACACCAAAAATGATGATGAGGAAACGCTTACGCACCATTTTATTCTTTATTTGCATTTAAGAATGCATATTAATGACGATATAAAACTTATCGCCGAACGATTATCACAAAATAAAATAATTATGTTTATTTGTATTTTCTCACGGACACCAATCTCCAACTAACTTCCCAACTATCAAGATGATTAACAGTCGCATATTTCGCAACCATTAAACATTTAGACGTTTTACAAACTATGAGAAATACAATTATTTGAATATTGTTTTCCATATTCTAATGTTTTTGTTTCTCATTTTTGATGTTTTCCATTTGCTGTCGGTAACAAGATAAATAAATAAAAAATTGGGCTTAACGTTAATATCCCTATTAATCAAGTTCGATAATTTTGTTTCCCATAGTTTGTGAAATGTTTAAAATTTTGAAAAAATTCCTTACACACAGAGATATTTTTTCAAAAATCCTGTTTTATACAAAAACAAGGATGAACCTACTAGGTGATTGTTAATTATTAAAACCATTATAGCTTTAATTATAGAACGATTATCAGACTTCCGTAGCCTCAAGATATAAAAAACAGCAAGTGTAATGATATATAACCTCAGATTTTTCTAATTCTACTTTCGCTTGCACTGTTTTTAAGAAGAGTATACCAATAACATTTCTTGGTAGTGAGAGGAGTTCATGCGCCATTGAACTTGGGAGGGAAGGGCACCTCTGAAGTCAGGCCTTAATCAAATACCTAAAATTACCCACCTTCTTTTTTTATTATCAAATGTTTAATTCCTGGCTTCGTAAATATTTTGATTTTGATCAAAACATTATGGCAGAAAAAAATATTTTCAAAACTCAGTTTTATGAAACTGGTCTACAAAATAAAATAAAAACTCAACTTCAAAATTAAGAAACTACTGAAATGATAGGTAGAATCAAATCAACAAAAATTAATCTATCAGCCTTCTACGGATTTTCTGCAAAATATTGGCCGAATATATATATGTATATGTGTGTGTGTATATATAGCCTTGAGACTCATTATCATTTTCCAGTCTTTTTCAAAATGTCAACTGTTATAGATTTCATATTCCCAATATTCTTCATTTAACCCAACCTTCCGAATTGTATATCACTTTCACAGAATAGTTCCAACAACTAACCATTAATTTCCTATTGATCCTTATTTGCGTGAAACTTTCGTTGTTTGTTCGATGAAATTATCTTATTCTGATTCCATTCACTTTTTTGATCTTTTCTTTTCTTAACACAATAATGTCCAAGAAATAGATGGCTAAAATTAATTTTGAATTATTTTCTGCATTGCTGTGAATTCAAACATTACTCCGGTATTTTAATAGTGGGTCATCTTCCCCTAGGTGGATTTTCAACATCATAAAATTATTTCCACATTCCAAGTTAAAGACCGGTTTGACCAAGGAAGCATTCTAAAACATTTCTCAGTTTCACATTTTAAAGTATAACATTTTCTAATATCTTTATAAAACTAGTTAGTTGAGTTGAAGGAATTCAAGCAATATAATCAGACACGAATATGTTGCTTAAAACGATTAAAACATTATATTTTGAACAAGGTAGAACTCTACTCGTAGAAATCATTATTGGTGTTTAGGAAACAAAAATTAATCACACTTATAAAAGTAAATAATAGAGTGGTAATCGATTGTTTGGAAAAATTATTTAAAACTTTCATTTAACAATTTTTGTGAACGTTTTTACGTTACTTAGAGATAAACAAAATAACAATAAATTATGATTATGATAAGCTTATTTCATGTTCAAAAAGAAATTTCATTTAGGTAGATCAAATGGCAATACAAAAGAAAACAGGCTTTAATTGTATATTATTAATCTATCATAATTTTCGCTATTAAGAGGGCAAGGAGAAAAATGTATTTCCATTATATATATATATTCTAAAAAAAAAAATTATATAGACCAAATTTAATGTTTACATACAATTTTAATATTATTACTTAATTTCATGAAGGGGAAACTAAATTTCCCGCTATCGTTCTATTGATCCCGCAAAGGGAATTTTCGAGTCCACCCAGGCTTCACAACTGCAGGTTAACAGTGTAGAGTAGTTTAAGTTGTGCCATAGTGTGTATTTTATAGGTTTAGTGTCTTCCAGTTTGTTTTTGACTGTTTTAACACTTTTATATTACTGTTATATTGTTTGTTTACCGTTTTTATTGTTATAATTGTTAACTTTAACTGAATTATTTAAAAATGTTCGAAAGCTTTGTTTCTAATATCAAATCACAATCTAACAGACTGACAAATTCACTTTCTATGGAAAATTTCAAACTCAAAGCCTCCGAAACAATTGACAATCTCAAGTCCAACCTTACTGACACAACTAATAGTATTTCTTTGTATTTCAATGATGTACAACCCAGAAAAGGTCCGTCCAAAACCATATCCACCCCCAATTTAAATAAGTTTTGTAATGATAAGACAAATCTGAAATGGCCAGTACTTGTTGACAATAAAATGGTTTGGATTGATTATGAAACATATCAGAATGAATTGGCTGAAGATGATGAAGAGCCTGATATCATAGATAGATTTGTTAGAGTCATATCAGTGAATGATGATGAACGTATCAATTGTAATGTGAGTCGAATAAGTTAGTTAATAACCAAATATTTACTATATGTTTTAATTTATTTGTATGGTTTGGTTGCAGAGGCGAAATGATAGAGAAGAAATACGCAGAAGGCTTGCTGCCGGGTGTGATTCAGAAGATTATTACGGTAGTGACAAACCCGGCAAGAAACCGAGCCTTCAAGCTAGGCTTCAGAGTGGTAAGATCCTGGAAAAAATTGAAGAATTATTTTATTTTCCTTGGCTAGTTCATACACGTGGATTTTTTTAGGTATGAACCTTCAGATATGCTTTATGAATGAAACAAGTTCTGACACTGAATCGCCGAGTTCTGAAAGTGCACCACCAGCAACATCTCAGATATCACCTCCTGTGAAAAGCAACAAGTCTCCACCGGAACCACCAAAGTCACTTAATCTACCTAGTGTTGTAAGTAAATTGTAGTTGTTAAATTTGAACAATTTTAGTACGCATACTTCTAAAAAAATTTAGCTTTGTGTTTTATTTCGGACATTTTAATTTACTACTCATAAGTTTGGAAAGTTATTAATTATGGATAATTGATAGTTAAAATATTCATAAGTGTTATTTCATGTAGATAAGAGAGCTAATATCAAATTGATCAAACTATTTCATATTCCAAAAATAGCTTACACCTATGTTCATGAATGGGCTCGCTTTGCTTGCTCAAGTGATGGTCTAATCCACAAGGGATCTTTATCAGTTAAGATAAGAGACCTTATCCAGCAGAGGTACTTATCAATGGAAGTGGATACTTTTCAATTCAACTTCAAATATCTTCCAAACTTTGTTTCTAAGGAAAGTTTGGAAATCAGTCGACTTTTTATACTTTTTTACCAACAATTATTTTGTTATTCTATGCACAGTGTGACTAATGTGATCTTGATTCAACAATTAGAACTAACGCTCGTGAACTAATACAGTATTATGTTTCTAAAAAAACAAGTTGCCATATCTCATTTCAAAGATTATTTAACATACTATAATATATTATACTTTTTCATAAAAAGTAGTATATTTTGACATTTTTTTACTTGATTATCTTGACAATGTTATTTTAAATTAAATTTAATGTTAGATGAAACTGTTAATATGTCTTTATTCAATTCATGAAAACGGTTTTTTAACCTGCTATTTTTCAATAATTAGACACATTGCAGTTACAGTTCTTTGGTATTTAGTTTGAATTTGATATGGGGAGGAATCTGTTATTGTTATTTCTTAATATAAATGGAAGTTGGCATCTGCTGAAAGAAACTAATAATTAAAAAATTAAAATTTCTACCTTACAATCTTCTATATAAATAAAATAAAGATTTTGTCTGTACATTGAGTAGATCCAACCAGTTTTATGATATCTTTCCGTTTCATACATTGCAGACACCAAATCCACTTTTTAAAAAAATTTTGTCTCTGTATGTCCGCATTGCAACAAAATTTTGTCAGAGGTAAACTCAACAATGGCTTTATGTAGACTTTTAAAATTTTAACTTTATATTAAGGTTTGCTTGGCTTAAAACATAGGCTTTAAATGGAAGCAAAATATTGAGTAGAACCAAAGTTATGAATTCTTGAGTAATTTGCCTACAGATCCCGGTTAGGCAGTTACTTATTTCGAATCCCATCCCAACTTACTCTATTGCGACCCACATTTAAAAGTTGTACTACTCAACTGATGGAATAAATTATCACAATTCAACGGGAAAAATCCGGAATACCGAACGTCTGTAATGCGTTGTCACATAAAACAGGTAAAACACACTCATTTTTCAACTTTGTCCAATCTTCCCGTTCAAGGTGTCATTTAATTCAACTTCCCGAGCCTAACAAATGTTGTTGTAAACATTTTTAGGATTAACCAAATGGATTAGCCGTAAATCTGGAAAAAAAATTCACCCCGGCCGCCACAATATTCAGATCTAATTTTACACAGATGTAGGTGACTACTCAATGTCCAATATTATTTTGATTATTTCGCCAGCAATAAACTGAGTAGAGTTTAAAGAAGTGGAGAGACTATAACTCTTTTTGATTTATCTCCTCACTTCATCGTAAATGAAAATTAAACAACAAATTTTAATGTATCGATGGTGGTCGGTTTAGTTGTGAGGTACCTAAACGATTAGCCGAATAACAATGTTGTTGTTATGACTATTGCGAAACCTTGACTTCCATAAGCCCCGCCATATAAAATTTCAAAACAACCCCTCTCTCTCCTCCTGAACCAATTTTATGAAATTGAATTTGGACCCTCCCTCCCCCCGTAGTAAAAAAGCCATCTCAAAAAAAGATTCTCAAATTTTAACTATACACTTGTCAACGATGGGTACATCAGCTAGTCTTTACTAAATTACAATCTTTATTCTCTGAGTATATTGCCAATTGTTGAGTATGTACGTTACCAAATTTTTATATATTTTTTCTGATCCATTCTAAAAAGTCATACGTTATATTTCAAATAAAACATATCGCTGTTATTTATATATAAGGTTTATATATCGCTGTTAGTGCAGAAGGTAGTATATAAAAATTGAGTTTTATTACAGAAGAGCTAAAACCTATTATTTCTTAATGATTTAGTAGTATAATTTCATATTTTATTTTTCCCTCTACTATTTTCCTGTTTAGCAGACTACTTATATCAGTTTCAGACTACAATATTTCACCTTTAGTGCAAGGAGAATAAATTTGTAAAATTATTTCATACGACCTTTTGCACTAACAGTAGGATAACATGCTTGTTAACTGTTATCCTAACCATTGATAACATTTCAAAAACTTTAGTTTAAGTGTATACTATTGTGATTAAACTCAAGTCTCAAGATTGACCATGTAAAACTTCATAAGATAAAAATTGAAATTTGTGGCAATCAACTAAATCTTCTAAAATCATTTGACCACTTTGAAAGAAAAGGCATAGTATTTAAAACTGGCCGTGCTTACCAGGAATTTATTTCATTTTGTATTCATGAAATCAGTTCTTCTGAAAGAATTACAAAAAAGTCAATTATATTTGATTAGTTAATACAATCTTTAATAATTGATCTTTCATATATTACTAGCAAATATCTGAGAAAATGAGTGTTGAGAGATGTAGATATTCAATGCCTAGAGTCGCTAAGAGAATCAACATGAATAATGATATCCTAACCACAATAATCCTAACACTTCTAATATACCTATGCTAGTTTATCTCGGTAAGAATTCTCACATTATATAGCTATCATTCACCCCAATGCATTCAACGTACAAGCGACATTAGTGAAACATGTTTATTTATGTATAGAATAGAATATCAAATAGTCTATTCAACACACAAAATTTAAAGTAACAATTTACTTATTTAGTGATTAGCTTGTCCGATTGGAAAATATTCCTCCAGTTTAATAGTTAAGCAATAACACACAGCTGTCCCTAAATCCATTATTGTACTCACTCAAGACCTACTTGTTTGGTCCAGAAGAGCCTTAGTTGTTGTTTTCTCACTAGGAGTATAGAAATTTATTACTAAGAGTATAGAAGCCATACCATAATAACTAGTATAGAATCAATTTTTTGTCCTTTAATAAACTACCCAATCAGATAAACTTGAAGTATAAAAAGAAAGAGCAAAACCTAGTCCTAAAATTCATTTTTAAACAATTGAAACCCTTCCTGTGTTATATTTTTTTCATTTATATAATTTTCCATTTTTAAATTTCTTAATTCTATTTTCATATTTTTATTTACAGGGTCGAACTAGAAATATCAACGCCAGTAGCCATTCAGGTCCTCAGAGTCTGAAAACTGTCAGTGGATTCTTCCAAAGTGACACAGGTGACTTCTTCAGCCGTCAAGCTAGACTTCAGACCGAAGCGAGGCTCGCCCTTTCGCAGGCAAAGGAGCGGGCAAGGATGCAGATGGAAGCTGAAAGATGTCGCTCACAAACTAGCCCAATCACTCAGATGCTCCGAGAGAGCCTAAACAAAGTAATGTCAATAAATTGCTTTTATTTCCTTAATTATGGCTTCTTTATATTTTTTTATTTTGATCAGCACAAATTTACAAAGTGACAAATTGGGCATTTAGCCACAGCACTAGTTGAAGAAAAACTCCAGAATTAGAAAAATAGGCCAAAAAGTTTTCTTCTTCTTTTTCTTTTCCCTTTTGTGCCTCTCAACGTAGGGGAGTGCACAGCCACAAATTCCACTCCTCTTGTTTCTGACCTGAAAGAGATCTTTGCCTCTTGCTCTGCAAACTCTGTAGATTTATTCCAGATATGACATTCTTGGACTTCCTTGAGGTCTTCTACCATCTGGAACGTAGTCCATTGTCTTTAATAGGTCCCTATGTTCCTCCATTCTGACGACATGGACGAACTATTTCAATTGGCGGGTTACCAAAATCTCCTTCAATAGGGTGACCTCAAGTTCTTTTCATATCCTTTCATTACGAATACGGTACCTCCTAGTCTTTCCATCTGTTCTTTGCAGAAATAAACAAAGTTTAAGGAATGAAAAAATAATTTAATTTTTACACCATGATTTGTTCTCAATAGTACGTTTTGAGTAATACAATTTAAAGCACTAATTAGATATACGTGATATTCTATCGATCCAAGGTCAAATGCCGATCTGTATTATAACAGTGCTCTTAATAATTATCAGTCCTAAAACCAAGTATATTTAAAATTCATTCAAGTATCTATAGTATAATGTAACTCATGTTTTATCTGTAGCAGTTATAACAGACATTTCAAACAAGAATAACCATTTATTAAATAAGAAAAATGATATAAAAGGACAGCCTATGTAAAAAAGCAAAAAGAAATTGACTTCATACCAGGTCTGTTCTGGGTCATTTTTATTTTGGCTGTCATCATCTTCGCTGTCCTCGGGGGATTCCTCTGGGGATTGCCTTTGTGTCCAGGCCTCTCCACTTCGTACATTTAATTACCTGTTCTACAGCAGCTTAATTAGTTCGTAGCCAGAGTTCAGCATTGGGGATAGTTATAAGCTACCACATTCACAATATGTTTCGCAGACATCTATTAATGAATGTACCTGCTTGGTAACTTTCCAAGTCTAGCATGAATATGGAAGAACCGACATAATGTTATTATGATGATTGATTAAAATGATTTTACACAAGATAAATTGGTCAATTTATTGAAAACTGACTTTATACTTTTTGAATGTATTAATTAATTTTATCAACCGATTTTTATTATTCCCATTGTCAAATACCCCCAAAAAAATTTTTTTTAAAATACATGTCTTACAATATGTTATTATAAAAATGATTTTCTTTAAGGTTGGAATCAAATTCCCCGAAGACAGAAGGAGGCTTAGTCGCCAAATGTTGACTGATATGAATGTTGCACAATTGCAGGTTATAGTAAATGATCTTCATACTCAAATAGAGAGTAAGTATACATTTATGTATATATTTGTGTATTAATTTATAATTTTTATTTATTAATTTATTTAATTTTTAAAGTTCTGAATGAGAGTCTTGTTAAATTCTTGATGGAAAGGGATGAACTGCACATGTCCCAAGACTCGATGCTTGTCGACATTGAAGATATTACTAGATACTTGTAAGTTTTCAAAATAATTTATTTTCATTTACTTATTGCCCTGTTATTTGATTATACCAGATTTTATTTTATAAAAAAATAAAACTTAATTCTTGTTTTGTAATAGTTTAAAAATTGTAAAAAAAATTGATAAAATTAATCATAGGCTTCTGTATTTACACAAGCTGTTTAAATATGCACAACAATTAAACCCTAACTGTTTTATGTAATAAAAAATAATAGAGAAATATATTCAGTTGCATAAAAATCTGGTATAATATTATCAGCATGTTACAAAGGTTGATCAATAATGTGATGTCATCGTTAAATTGTGCAAGCCTTTTCATTTAGAAACGGTGTCCACTCTACATCATGAGGGCAACTGAGGAGCTACTACAACATAGAAGTAGCGGTCCAGTCACAAAAAAACAATATTAACATGAGAGGACGACGTGCCAGCTAGCTTGTTGGCAACAAACCATTCGGTAGGGCCTGTCCATTCCTCAAGATCTAAATCACATTTATTTATTTATTTTTTGATTCAGGTATTTAAAAAAAAAAAAAATGTTTCTCATAAAAGAAGTAAAAAATTATTTATTTAAGCCTTCTATGATTTATCTATTTATATATTGGCAACTTAAATAAAATATTAATTGTATTCTCGAAACTGGTTTTTGTAGAAAATAAGGATCATAAAAAAAAACACTCATATACAAAAGAGATACCAAACTTTAACCTGTTAACTGGGTATGACGAAATATCTCTTTCTTTCTTTTATAAAAAAAATAAAAATAAAATCAATAAGTTGAAAATTATTTTCTTTTATTACTTGAGGTGTGGTGATATTACTTATAAAAGTGCAGTCCTCATTGTGAAACGAGTGGAACAAAATGTTATTGCCCGGTTAACATGTTAAGGCAGCAGTGCTTAACCTTTTTAGTTGTCAGCTGAAGATAAGAATTTACTATTGCTCTTTTTACTTACAATATATTACTATATATCATAATAAGCTATATTTAAATTTGAATGACTAGGTTGGTGTTATTTATTCATAATAATTCTAATATGAATTCTATCTAATAACAATTCTATTTGTTGTCAATCTTATACTCTTTCACATAATCTGACAGGACTTGATGAGTATCAGTTACATATAATGTACTACTTGTTACTGTTTAAGATTTTATCTGAAATAATTAAGGAAATAATTTTCACTGTAAGTTTTAAAATCTTTAACAATGGATAATGCTTTTATAGCACAAATTTTGGTAGAAAATATTTTCCATATAGGTACTATTTTAAAAAAAAAAATTAACAAAATAAAATGTAAATACAGCATAAAAATAAAAGAAAAATACATAAAAACAGGTTTGAGAGTACATTTTTTGTTTTACATTAAAGAGATTTCTTTAAAAATTGATTGTTTACATAACATATATTCTCTGTGATAGTAATATTTTCGACTTTCCTGATGTTGTTAGTAATTCCAGTTCCATTTTTTGTTAATTTCAAAATAGTCGGCAGACGTGTTACAGAGGTAAAGTTGAATATAGGAATTTATTATGATCATTCCAATCTTATTAAAATAATTTGGTTCAACCAGAAGAAAAGATTTATTATTAGTACAGTAATCGGTTCTTATAATTATCGAAGATATAAAAAAATTGCCTATTTTCTTAAAAATTTTGAGATCTATTTAGATTTTTCTTATTTAAGCATGAATTTATTTTGTACATACATATTTCATAAAATATGTTTTTTTTCATTAAATATTTTACGAAAGCTTGAGTTGCTGACCAGTTGTTTTTTATCCAGCCACTAATAGGTATTGAAGCTGGGTTTGTTTAATGCCTTGACTTTTTATGGTGAGGATAAAAATATGTTTCAAAAATCGTCGAACTCCCGCATATATATCGAAAAGTTCTATATATTGATGTTGCAAAAGCCTTAATTGCAAAACTAATATTATGTATAGAATAATCAAGAACTATGGCATTCAAAGCTGTAGAGGTCTGTAAAAATAAAAAAGTTACAGAAGTCCAAGAATTAGATTTGAACAGTGTAGAAATATTGTAATAAGCTGAATGTCCTGTTGCTCTAAGTAAACTGACATGAGTTGAAAACATTGCCGTACTCATCTGATGTGTTAAGTGAAATTTAGGAGGATGCCGAGACAGCTCACTTTCATTAAATTATATGGCTGCATCTACTAATTTCTCCTCTTTTTCTTCTTCAAGTACTAGTAACACAATGATATCCTTCCTGGGCGACAAACTAAATCGAAGACACTAAATATCTCTTGCTATATCTTTTTGCTTTGATATGAAACTTGTTTGAGATAAGGTAAAAATTGTATGTCGCAACTGACAAATCCATATATATACAGACTTGAGCATCGACCCCGGGTGAGCAACAAACCATTGGGTGTAAGCTAATATCGAACAAAATGGAAACCCAGTCTGTGCTGTATAGTAGGAGTGATGTATTGAGTCATTTCTGACCTATTCCTAGAATTCTGAGTATGCATGCAATTGTGAACTGAATATTAATCGTTCTTGGTTTTTTTTATTTATAATTATTACATCCTTAAAAAAGAAAATTGCAATTTTTTACTGTTAAAAAAAATTTGAATAGAAAAATTATTCAAAAATTGTATAAGAATTGCATTGTGAGATTTTCTATTTTTATTGTATAATGTCAGGAATATGATTGAGAGACAAGAGAGCTGTCTCTCAAACTTCTCTTGCGAGAAGGTATGTTTAAGTATACATTTAAGAAAGAAGGATCAGGAAATCTCAAAGTGAGTATTGACAATCTATTCTCCAGGAGTATACAATTGAAGAGTAGAATCAACAATGGGTGGCAAACCTGAAAGGAACCTCTAGTACTTCCTATGTTTAATCACTTTTTGATGCCAAGTTGGTCCTCTTGGATTATTGGATCTCGCAACTTCAATCTCCTTTGCAAAGAGACTGTTGAGTACATTATCATGAACCGACTACCACCTTTGAGTCCCTGAGGGCCAAATCGCTGAGAGAGACTCGTCTATATGTTCTAAAAACGAACTGTTTCCCTCAGCTCGTCTCAGAAAGAAACTGCTCTTACAACAAAGAATTTATGTTTGGGTGGAAACAAGCAGTCGGCCCAGCACATTTCAACCTCAACAGAAAATGGCCCACTTCTGGAATGCCATCGGAATGACGAGGAGAATCAGAAAAAATTATCAACATTCGAATATATATGCTGTGTGTACAGCTGCTTATAACATAAGTTAATTGTATTGCAGGAGTGGGATGTTATGGAGTCATGCATAATAACCCAGTACTGCAAAACCTGTATAATCTAAAAGGTAAGTAAGGATATAAAGAAATGAAAAAATTGACTGGCAGGAATAGAAGCAATAGGCTCATATTGTTCAGTCTAACGACAATTGTCATCCCTTTCCTCTACTCACTGAGGATGTGCCCGTTCCAAAATACCAACAACTCTCGAATTGGGCTGAGGCATGCATATGCATTCAGTTCACCCTATATTTATCTGAAAAAAAAACCTGAACTCGTGTCCATTTGAGGTGAATGCTCATGTGTAAGATATGTCTTATCGCTCTAGTGTGAACTTCACCATATTGTTTTTCAATTAAGATGTCGCCAATAAAAACACATATAGCATAGTTATTGACTACTAGTGAATGCAAGAAAAAGTTCTGAAGATGGAAAAGATTTCCCGAAACGTCAATTAAAAGAAAATGTAGCAGGTACAATATTTGCTTGCATCAATTGGCAGTTTATTGCCAACATCGTAATACACCAACACTTACAAACTAAAAAAGAATGAATATAAAATGTTTTTAATATTACTAGGATGAAAAACTTTAATCTTTAATGATTAATTTTTTGTTATGGAATTCATATTTTTGATATGAGCTGTTAAAACTTTAAACTAAAAAGCTTTAATAAAAATTGGGTAACTTTGCTCGCGTCCGTACATTGTACACGTGTCCTCCGGTTACCAACAGGCCCAGTCAACACACAGCTTAAGGCTATATTCAGGAACGTTGGTGGCCTAACTGCTGACAAATTCACAGAATGGAAAACGATTATTACAAAGGAGGATGCTGATTTATATGGGATCGTAGAAGCCGGCTCATCCACTGAAAATATCCAGTTCTACCAATTACCGGGATATCAAACTTATAAACTGCAGAGATCCAGGCAGGTTGCATCAGGAATAATTGTCGCTGCTAAATCATCCCTCAAGGTAACCTTTTCAATTAAAAAGAGGATGGAAGAGAGAATGATAATTTGGAGGCTGTACAGTTAGATGTATGGAAAAGGATTCATGGTGGAGTTGTATTGGGCTGCCAGGAGCCGAATGGCCTAATAGCCAACGGCAGAGGCGTTTAATAAAAATATATATATATATATATATATATTTTTGATATACAGAGGTTTGACTGTATCTATTTTTCATTTAGAAGAATGATTTATCCGAATAACTTCAGTTAATATTACTCTAAATATTAATACTTATTAATGGTTGTTGGATTATCATTTTCCTGATTTAAATTGTTATCACATTAAATGGATTTAATGTTTTACAGGGGTGCAAAAGAAAGCAGCCTGAAAGAAGACATAGTCAAAAACAATAACCTGGCCCCGCAGCAATCCAGGCCTGTCATTACCAGGTTGGTCAGCCTCGGGAAGAAATAAGCATTGCTTAGCAGTATACATCATCCCACCCAAATATCATTAATATATTTTCTTTCCTTGTCGACGATTGTATATTTAGAAAAAAATATATATATATATTTCATTTAATTGTCAAAAAAAATAGTATATTTAAGAAAAATGTAAAAATTAAAAAAAAAAAGTTGAAGTTTTTTGTAATAATTTAGAGCTGTGATATTGGATTCTTTATTATATATTATTAAGTGTTAAATTGGTGTTTTTTTTTATTAATTTTTAATTTATTATCATTATTTTACTTTATTTTTTGTTAATTTAGTCTTTAGGTGTTGTTTTGTTCCTAGCTTATGACCTGATAAAGAAATACCTTCTAATGTATTCGAAGAACTATTTTCTTACAGATATTTGTACTGTAATCTTAGGCTTAACAAGATATTTTAAACTGAATTTTTTTTTTTTTTTAATTATTTGATCATTATCCCTCATGCATGGCTATGTGTTCCTTCAAATGAAAAAATGGGAATAAATTATCAATATTTATTGTATTAAATGTTTATTCTAATTATCAATATAAATTTGTGTTGTGTATATATACATATACACACACAGAGAAAATATATCACTTAAATGCATTTAAACATAAATGCTAACACTTAAATGTATTATAATCATGATAGAATAATTTAAAAAATCTGTATTTCAAATCACTAATATATTTATTGTTAAGATGTGTATATAATTCGAGTATGTATATTTTATTATAATTGATGTAAGTAAAGCTTCTAATGAAAATTTTCATGAATGCATGGGACTATATTCATACATTATATATAGTGTGTGTAAGTATTGAGTACACTCTGAAGGTTGTTTCAGAATATTGCTTCATTTTGAGAATCAATTTTAATTCATTGTCTGTGAAAAAATATATTGCGTTGTTAACAATTATCAGGTTTTGAAATATATTGATGTACTCGTGGTGAGCAAAATTATCTAATATCGCTTATCGCCTCTGCTAGCATAAAATGTCAATCGCGTACGAGCCCTATCGTAGTAAATAACTTTTTAAATTTTAAAAGAAAATATAATAATAAAAAAGGAGGATTTTGATGGCCATTGACATTTAGCATTTGAAAGTAGTTATTGGCAGAAGTTGTGCTTAGCCTTGTCGTAGATAGTTCCATTAAATCGCACTGTTCTAACTTCCCCTTGATTATACTAAATATCCGTTTCACAGAATAGACTATCTCATCACCTTACTGGGTAATTATGTCAAATTAACTAATATTATAAGAAATTCAACTAAAAGCTGTCTGAAATAGCCAAAAAAATATATGATTTTTGTTTTAGTTTTTTTTTCCTTCAGAAAAAATTCTCTTTTCTTAATAAATTTTATTATACAAGTTACCCACGTGTTTAATTTTTTATATTCCTCTTTACCAATGTATATTGTCACTTAAGCTGTGATTCCTCATAAGTTAAAAAAAATTAAAACTACAATGTTCATACTATTTAAATAAAAAACACTTCTATGAGGCACATAGGGTCTTGGGTACACTTCTTTGTAAGAAAGTTTGTTTCTTGGTCAACAGTTCTGCAAGAAGAGAATTTGGCTGAGGCTATGTTTAACCATCAGATTTTTTTCTTTGTCTAATTAAGAAAATTCACTTTATTGAGGTATACTTTTAAAATATATATGTATTGTACAACATCTTTCGAAAGTAAGAAAATATTATATAAGTATAATTAACCATTCTACAAAACAAGATGATTCTAGAATGCTACTCTTTTTTCTTTCTTTTTTAAGAAAGATCGTAGTTTTGATATTTTTTTTACTTACAACCAATCACAGCTTAAGTGAGGATATAACTTTATAGACCTGTTTTTTATTTATTCTTTATCCATATATATTATTGTAATTATAAAAACATGTGAGTGGCCACAATACCAAAGATAGACATCTGTCGTTTTCATAAAGTGGAGTCAGTTTTTATTTTATAGGTTCAACTTGAACTGTTTCTTATGATTTTATTTAAGAAAGTTCTAGTTGGATCATGAAAATAAATCATTAAATTTAAGCTATGTTACAAAAATAGACTTATTCTCAACTTTTTAAAAATGACATGTCCGTCTTTGATATAGGGCCACTAATATATTATTAGAGAGAAGAATAGTTGGGGTGCTCAGTCAAAAAAGGAAGGCAAAAATAAATTATAATATTTATTTTTTACATCTGCCATGTAAATTTACTGCCATGTACATTTGGCAGATGTAAAAAATAAATATTATAATTTATTTTTGCCTTCCTTTTTTGACTGAGCACCCCAACTATTCTTCTCTCCATTATCCACGACAGTCAACCAATTACCAATTATAATATATTATTAATATTTATTCATTTAGAATTATTGCAATATATTTAGAAAAGGGAAGATGATCAGACAATTTGGTTGAGAAGTTGGTTATTAGGTTGCTGCAGTCAAAATGAAATACTCAAACATTTTTGTGTTTTCTTTATGCCGAGGTAAGTAAAGGAAACACCAGATAAAAAACAAACAAAAGATTTTTAAAACATATTGACAAGAAAATATCTTTATTTTAACTTAGAAATAAAAAAGTATTTTACCTAATATGAAATGAATAAAAATTACATTATGTGATTTGATATGTAAGATAAATTAATATTTATAAGTACTGTATATAATGAATGATCTGCAGTACGATTTTACTTTCACTTATTCATAAATACTGAGAGAAAGTATTCAAATTATGAACAATTTAAAATCTATGTTTTTAAAAGAATTATAGATCTTGAGATCCCTGATTCCAAATACCCAAGTTTTGCAAAGTGGCCTGTGTGAGTGGGGAAGGGAAGAGAGAGCGACAGTAGTCACTGTATCTGGGAGCTGTGGCTACTCCAAATCCCGTTAATGTTCTACGACCTTCCTTTGGTCCTTTTTACGGTTGTGTTCCTTTCAAGAAGTTGATGCCACTGCTGCTGTATACTTAATCTGATTTTCTTCCACTTGTAGGTGCCTACATCAGTTCTTTAGACACATTTATCTCCTGTCTTCTACCATTTCCCTCATGAGAGGCCTGTTTTTTTTTTTATTTTTTTTTTATTCAACAGATGGTTCTCCAGCTTTAATGTCTTCTATTTACTTCTATTTATTATTTGTTTTTTCTTACCCTACCCAGCCATTTCTGGCAAACGGGTTTTTCAGTAGCAGCGGTATTGCACATAACACTGTCGCCGATACAACTCACTTTATTTCATTGCATACTTAAATATATAGGTATATTTTAGGATATGTTTATATATTTAGGAACAACAAAACAGGAAATCTGTGGTGTAGGCAGGTACGCAGCTGCGAATCTTTATAATATTCTACATTTATTTTAATTTTTTTCTCAATTGGCTATTAATCTTCTTCTTTACTTCTCCTTTGGCCTTTGGAGTGCTGGTTCTTCTCATTCCTCTCCTGGGCGCTCTCTTCCCAAGTTGCATATGGCTGATGTCTGTGTATCCTCCAAAGCATAGTCAGACAATTTAATCTCAAGCAATCTAGGGCATTGCTGGATGTTGCCGACATGCTTCCTTATTGCTCTGTTACATTATTTATGTCTTGACTGGATTCAATTGTTAAGCTCATTATTTCCTCAACAAATTCTATCTACTCGTGGCAGAATTTAAAATTCATTGTATAGAATGTACCTCAGGGCTTACTTCGGCTACTGGGTGGGTCCGCAGGTGGCGGATAGCGGAACAGCCTGTAGATATACAGATTAACTGCGAATAAGGGCTTGCCCAAATAAGCAGTCACATCATCAGAGGTGGACTTGTAACCTGTGGCAGGGTCAGGTGTAATAAATACCACAAAACCCGTTGACGATGTTGTGACATGGCAGGTAAGTGCCACCATCAAATATGCACTGCCTTGTATGGTTTGGAAGAGGATCTTAAAGGCTAGGAGAAAAAACTCTAAGGAAATCAAGAGTAGCATGGACTATATAAGCTGTAGTGAAAGACACCATGCTAAGGAACGGTGCCCCCTAGGGAACGAATTCAAAGCTCTGGTCCTCCCGGTCGGGGATTGAGTATGGGGTTAACGCCCCACCTTAAAAAAATAAAATAAATGTCCAAAAACCAAAAGACAACACTAAACCGGATTGGATTAAAGGAGAAACAGACCCGGAACTGAAATTTGGATTTGACTATTGCAATCTGGAATGTGAGGATGATGCTACAGCCCGGTCAAATGGCTGAGCAGATAATTAAGTTTAACATAGAAGCAGTGGCCTCACAGGAGACAAGATGGAATGGATCAGGCAGAGTATACAAAAAGGATTTCTCAATGTTTTACAGTAGACCTAACTACAGAAGTGGAAAAAATGATATTGGATTCTTAATTAAAAAATAAATAAGGAAGAGTTTACTACTATTTGAACCGATTAGTGAGAGAATTTGTAAACTTAGATTAAAAGGTAGATTTAGGAATGTGACATTGATTTCAGCATATGCTCCAACCATGAAAGCAGATGAAGATGTAAAATTGGAAAGAGTATATCATTCATTCTCAAAATATGATGTTAAAATTATTTTAGGAGACCTAAATGCACAAATAGGAACCGAGAGCTTTACACAGACCACAGACCGTTGCAGGAAAATTCCCCATTCATACTGAGACAAATGAGAACCAAAACCATCTCTGCCAATTCACTGAAGCAAGTGATATGTTAATTAAAATTACATTTTTCTTTGTGGAACGAGTTACAGCTTAGAGCTAATTACAAGTAAAAAAATGCTACAATGTGAACGTTGGTCGAGGAGCAAAGTGCTCGCAGAAGAGCCAATGTTCAGTAAAGGGTTATTAAATAAATTAAAACTGGAATGGCAATCTTCAATTAGTTTTAAAACTTTCTCGTCAGACCACATGTTGTCAAAAGAACTGTAAACTTTGTAAAATAACAGTAAACAGCCAAACCACACCACTCTGTAGCGGGATGCAGATTGAGACGTGTCTCGC